CTCGAAGCCCTTCGTTTGTTCGAGGCCTTTTCCTGTATCAAGTGACACTTCCTCGATGTTAAAATCCACCCTCACCGCTCCTTTGGGGCGTTCCAACAGCCTTGTCTACGCTGGTGTCGGCTGGCTGTGCTTCCGGGAGAAGCAGGACCTGCAGAATGAGCTCACCTTCACCGTCGACTACCTGGGCGGGTCGCAATCGTCCTGGTAAGTGTTGACAAGGTTGGAAGGGGCTTTTGAACGGGTATATATGCGGGTGGAATGGGGGAAAGCGGACGAAGCCTTGGGCGTGGGGTATGTGAAACCTGGTCCTGAGTTTGAAGACTGCCGTTTTGCATGTCCACGCGTATGCACATGTCTAACCTTGTCAGTGTCAAGATTCCTCCTTCCGTCGGCAATATTTGAAGCGCTCTCCTCTGCATCTACACATCCATGCTCACAGCACGCTCAATTTCTCGCGTGGAGCTTCCCAGCTGGTGGGACAGTACTAGTGAGTACCGGGAGTGGGGGTCGTTTTGCTTAAGGGATCTTGCTTTGGGATGATCCATATCGTCATCGAGCCTACCCCTTTCTGTTCACAATGCTCATCGCATCCTCCTGCATATGTACTTCTTACCGTCGTGCTGTTCTGGTTTACTATTGGGGGGCATAGGTGCGGTGTGTATTTTTGCGATCGAGGCTAATAATATATCAGACGTCCTGCATGAGTGACCGAGTAGTAGTACAGTTGTAGTTCAAGCACCATGCGCCATAACCAAATTGTTGACCTTTTTCCTGGGATCTTCTTCCCGTTACTTCCTCGCAGCAACTTCCTCCGCTTGGGGCGAGAGGGCTACCGGGAGGTGATGGCGAACGCCATGGAGAACGCCCGTTACCTGCGCAAGATGCTGCTGGCCACGGGCAAGGTGGGTGTCTACTTGATGAGAGAGGGAAGGAAAAAACATCTGACGACGGGATAAAGGAAGGGATGGCAATAAGGCTAAAGGCAGGGGCTGGACTTGGAGCGCTTCGCCCTGCGCCCGATTCGCTGGCTGTCTCTTCTGCCTCGTTTGGCTTTAGTTAATTGTCGACCCCCAACAAGTATGGAGGCCTGCGCAGTTCTCTTATCCTGCATGTCAACTTCAGCACTCACCTACTTCCCTGTCTCCGCCCCTCTGATATCCAGATCGACATTGTCGATACGCAGGACATGCCCTTGGTGGCGTTCAAGCTTAAACCGGACTTGGGAATCCTCTACACGGTCTTTGAGATCCAGGATAAGCTTCGGGAGCGCGGGTAGGGCGCATCATGGGAGGAAAAAAGGGAATGGACAGGAGGAAGGGAAGAAGGGTGGGTTATGTGGCAAATAAGACGTTCACACATTTTGTCACGGCACAGGTGGATCGTGCCTGCTTATCGGTGCCCAAAGGGTGCAGAGAAACTCTGCATCATGCGTGTGGTACGTCAAGGGGAGGAATGCGGGGAGAGTGGGAGGAAGAAGGGAGAGTGGTCGCTTGGCACCTGGATCAAGAGGGAAAGATTGAGGGGGCAGGAGATGGTATGAGAGGTACGAGTGGTTGACCGCACGACTTAGTATGACCGAGTCTGCCTGTGTTTCTACAGGTCGTGAAAGAGAATTTCTCCCGGGATCTGGCTGAGCTCCTGGTCGAGGACTTTATGAAGGCTATGGACTACTTGGACAAGGACCACAGGGAGCAGCAGGTGGGTAGAGGGGTAGCTGGCACAGTCACGGAGGGGAGGGGAGGAGGGAAGGAAGAATATATGGAAGGGATCGCGTCCTTGACGTGAGAGGGGATGCTTTGGCGACTGTCTTGATATGCGAAGCTGCCTCCACAAGGGTGTGTGTGGTGCGCTTGCGTTCGCTTGGTCTTGATCAGCATTCAATGATGCAAGAATCAGAACGGCGGGGGGCTCTACCTGATTCGGATCGGCTTCCTTTTCCTCTTCCTTTCCTTGGTCCTGCTTGCAGGAACTCATTCTCAAAGCGCAAAAAATGGCGGAGGCGAAGGCGGTGATGATGTCGCACATCGATGGGGTGCTGAAAGAGCGGGCGCAGAGGGCGCACCACATTGCTCATGACGACACCCACCGTAAGGCTGAAAAGGGAACGAAAGGCATTTGTTGAGAGGACAAGATGTGTTGGAGACGAGGGGCTCTGGCTGAGAGGGAGGAAGGGCGGCTTTGTCACGTGCGTGCCGGGTAACGAAATGCACTTCCTGTGAAGGAGGAAGAGGGAGGGTTCGCGAACAAATGTTGGGGTAACGATATAATGAAATTGGGGGATCTGGGCCACCTGTCACGGGTGGATGACGAGGACCAAGGGCTGGAAAGAGCCGCAATGTTGGCGAAAGAAGGTGGGCGTAGATGGTGTACGACCATGTGGGAGGGGTACCTTCCTAGTACGCTGCATCTGAAATCCGTGGGGAGGGTGCCCATGACGAGAGGCAACCTGAGCGCACGAAGAAATAAATGGATTGGAAAGGTCCATGGAGAGGTTCCTTGAACCTTTCTGTGGTAGAGATGGCGGGTATTTTGGAGGCCTGAGCCGATGGGCAGGGTTACACGTTGGAACGCTGGTGTGGTTGAGAATCGGGTAGGAATTCTGACGTCGCGTCGCATACCATCTAAGAAGAGAAGATCCATTCACAAATTATGCTTTCTTGCTTCTTTTCCCCGTCATGTGCGTTTTAATCATAAACCTGACGCCCTGCAAGTGTCGACTGTGCATCGAAGATACCATCCCTGTACTCACACCAAGTTCGCGAGCGCATTTGCCGACGGAAAACTTCTTTCCAACCAGCTTCACCTTCGTTTTTTCCGCATTTTCCGTTTTATCATGTACAAACGATTGCTCCGCACCACCATTCAGAATTCACTTCGGAACTTCCGATCTACTCTTATGACATTTGCGAGGCTGGGCCCCTCTCTCCGTCCAGTTCTGATCAAGCCTCTGCGCTCGAGGATGGCCAGCAAACATCCACGGGAGGGTGTCACTAAAATTTTCATCGAAACCTCTCGCGCGTCACTCCCCCACAGATGACGCCCTGCACTCGGTCGACAACATAGAAGACCTCCTCTCGTATAATTTCCATGTTTTGGCGAATAAGCCCGATTTCACCTCTCTGTACATCCTCGCCTCCTCTGGACCCGACCTATCGACGCGCTGGCAGCAATATGGAGCTCCATGACAGCCAAAGCCGACGTAGGAAGCCACGCCAACGGCATCATAGACGTCGAGCGCAGGAAAAAAGGTTCGATGGCTCTCTATCTACGACCGTTGAATCCAACAAGCTAGGGAAGAACCCCACATATCGACAATGGTACCTCTCCGACTGCCTCCTCTATGTACACACCTTCGCACTCCCACGCAGTAACGGCGCATGTGAACGGCAACAGTACTTCGTAAGCAGACATAGGACCATCTACAACTTTTCCATTCAAGCGATGAGTCCGTCCTACTGCAGGTGCCGGCAATCTCCTTCGTCCAACCTCTCCCAGCGCACGGCCTCCAATAACCACAGCCGCCCCAAGTTGCAATGTCGCTTTCAATTTCTAACTACAGTTGCCGGAACAGAACCCTCTTCGATGAAACATTACGTACAGGTCCCCAGATAAACATTAACAAGGCATTAATTAAAAAACGAAAAAGAAAAATCGCTGTTCTCCCCCCTATATTAACAGCATTGAAGCGTGTATACATGTATACATACTCACAAGCCTTCGCAGGTCTCAGGACGAGGGTAAAAGTGGACCGTGAAAGGCGCCCAGGAACGCCGATACCTCAAATGCGTTCCACCTCGTCCATGCGCGCAGAGGGGCACTCCTTCTCACTTTCCCCTTCCACCACCACAAAGGATTCCCCGCCTGTGAGAGGGATTGGGCGAACGACGGATCAATGACGTGCCTCCTTCCTCCCCCTCCCTCCTTCCTTCCTTTATTTCTACTCACCAAAGCCGCCCCACTTCATAACCTTGCCCAGGACCCCACCGAGCACAGGCCCTCGGAGCCCGCCCTCCCCCCCTTCCTCCTTCCCTCCCTCGGCCGCTTCCTCCTCCTCTTTCTGCTGGAGCGCTAGTGCATGGCCGACAGCAAGG